TATATGAATAATCTTGCATTATTAAATAGCTAACAGTCGAAGCAAGGTAAAGATTAAGGAAAAAAATATGCCCTCATCATTATGTTAATAGCTAAATTTCATCTTGATATTGATAATGTGACAAAATGATAAGCTTAGGTACTTATTTTTCCTAATATAAAAATGATGATGAAATAGAAAGCCCCCAAACATGCCATTCCAAGAACTAGACTTAGGAAGGCTGAGCTTGGACAGACATCACAAGTTCTGAGTTATGATGAAAACAGAGTGTACAGTTTAGATCAAAATTTGTGGAAAATATAAATTAAAAAGTATCAATTGCTCTATTGTGATTTTTAAGCTTAGGTGTTTGTCAGTTTATTTATTTTTCCTACAAAGAATAAAGAAAACCTCGCTAGGAATCTGGAATGAAAATTGATATTAAATATACTTCTTTCTGAACTGTGGCCTAATTCTATCCCAGAAGTCAACTTGAATATCAAAGAGAAGAACCCATGCTTCTCAAATATTAACTAGGTATTTAAGTTACATTTTGTCAAAGGACTTGATTAATAAAACTGAATTAATGTGAGATTTTTTCATGATTAAAAGGATAAAGACTGATTAGGAAAGAAGGAGAATACAGTTATCTGGTTTAAAGCCAAGCCACATGATATTACTGATTAAGCTGAGAGAAAGATTTCTTGTTCAAGGATATTAGCATTGGCCTTAAAACCATGTAGAGAAGTCAAGGTACAATGCAAAGGAAATGCTTGGGAAATTAAAAATATATATATACTAATGCCTGAGCCCCATCCTTAGAGTTTCTGATTTAATTGACCTGGCAAAAGGGCCCAAACAGGTGATTTCTAAAGTACTGTAGGTGTTTCTAATGTCAAGGTTAAAAACCATTCATATAGAATGTGGTTGTGTAGAAAAAACTGAAAAACATGTGCGAGGTCACATACCGTGACATGATTTCTAGGTGAGTGCCGGAACACTGTTTTGTGCATTGATGTTAATATATCAATGTTGCTTTCATCCTCAGCGGAGAGAAAAATTAGAGAATTAAAGATGGAAGGGGCTTATTGGGATCATGGATCACTAATTAAGAGAGTTAGGGTTCTTTGAAGGAAGAAGGGAAGGCAGAACAAAAAAACCCCATAATTTTAAGAAATAGTAATGAACATACACATTTTGATAAAAAAACATACTTCTAGTTGCTAATAGCAAGAACTAACCTATCATAGACTAGAGGTTATTGCTCATCTATTTTTAATTTTTCATTTAATTTATGTGACTATATGTCAATAAAATATTAAAGGCAATATAAATTATTTGAACAACACGGTGGAAAATGATTCTGTGGAAATTATAGTCCATTAATACTGTTGAGTTATTATTAATCTATATTCAACTATGCCCCAGATTATTATTCTGACATGAAATTAGTTTCTACTTTTTAGAAGGGAATCCATACAAAACAAGACAGGAATCTGAACAATGAGGGTATGACTATTATAAGCAATATGAGTGCTTGAAAATAATCTAGATGTGTCTAATCTTGTGCCTTTCACATTCAAAATAACAGTTTATCAATTCTATTTATATTTAGAACACGCTGAAAAATATTTGCAAGTCTTAGTTCTTGTCGAATTTATATTTTTGAGGAAAAACACATTCGGGAGAGTTGCCAGAATGTTTTAAATAAAAAAAATTTAGTAATGTTTAAGAACCAGAATGAATTCTTTAATGAAAAATTCTTTCCCCCCAAAAAACAAAAAACAATTTACTTCATAAACATATATTCTTGGAGTTAGAAGGATTGGTGATGCTGTTTATCTGGCAGGGGTTAACTAGGTCATTTTAAGTTTGTTATAATTGTTGGTAAATGGAGAGGTTACCCTATCCATCAAGCATAATTATTTCTACAAGATGTTTGAAAAAGTTTCATAAAATGTCATTGTGGATTATATGAGATCTGCAATGTGAGATCTGCAATTATATGAGATCTGCAAAGTGGATTATATGAGATCTGCAATTATATGAGATCTGCAAATTGGATTATATGGATCTGCAGAAAAGTTTCATAAAATGTCATTGTAGATTATATGAGATCTGTGGAATATATGAGATCTGCAATCTGCAATAACCATGTAGAAGTGAGGCAAGATTTTATGGGGTTCTGTATTCTTGGACTTTATCCTAGCTAATGATCTCCATCAATGAGCTGGATAAAGACATATTATTATGTGAACCACAATCTTCAACAGATTTGAAAGGTACCTATTGAACACCTAGTATGTCTCATGGGATATGTAGACAAATCAGGGAGGAATTGTCAATATAATTGAATGAGGATTCAAAATTACATTGTCATACTTTGAATCAAAATTAGGAAAAATCCTAGTCTTGGCTTAATACATCAGATTTTTGAAAGTAAGATTGAGATGTCTGGCTTGATTATTTGCTCATGGGATTCATATTAAGAGCTTTTCATAGTCAGAACCTCAAGGTAAGCAAATTTCATGATGGAGTGACTTAATCATAATGCAAAAATAAATGGTTTAAAGAAGTCATAGAACCTCTAACAGTGGTTAGACACCCCTGAAATATTAATCCCATTCTGAGCACCATGCTTAACATAGGTCCTTGAGGCTCTTCAAGTGTTATTCTTACATTTTGATGAGTAGAGAGATACTGTCTTAAATTGATAATGCAGTAATTAATGTATAAGTATATTTTTTAAAGTATCACAGCCAATAGGACCAGAAAAAAAGTTTAGATTGGGAGGAATGAAAAAGGAGAAAAAAAAATGTAAGTAACTCTTTTCTTTCAAAGGAGAGAGTCATTTGATCAATATATGATATGTTACGCACATACACACGTTTGATCAATATAATCTATGTACACACATACATACATACACTGCTATTATTTGGTGTTATGGAGAAATCTATAACTCAGGAAGGTTAAAGAAGGCTGTCTCCAAATAAATAAAAATTAAAAAAAAATTAAAAAAGACTGTCTCTGAGGAGTAGGACCTGGGGTTGAGAGAGGTGGATTGAGAATAAAGCCCTCCAGTACTATTGGATTTTAGTCCATGGATCAATGCAACAATGGTGTTAAAAGTAAACAACATTTGAATGATGATCCCCTCCGTGGAGAGAAAGTGCAAACAGTGAGAGAATCAGGATCCTGCCATGATGGAGTGAGTTCTGATGGTAGGGATTTCTATTCTGTGGATTCCCAAGATCTGTACCTATGTATGAAGGCTGTGCATGTCTATGTACCCAAAAAATTATATGCGAAATTGTGTACATATATGGGTACATGCATTTAGGAGGGGATAGACCATCATTTTGGACATATTTTATTTTCCCAAAAGAGTATATGATTTAAAATACATTGAGAACTGCAGGGTTGCCTGCCTTCTGGAGTTACAAACACTTACTTAAACAGACCATTTTTTTTAAAAGATTTTATTTATTTATTTGAGAGAGAGAGAGAGAAAGCACATGAGATGGGGGAGGGTCAGAGGGAGAAGCAGACTCTCTGCCGAGCAGGGAGCCCGATGCGGGACTCGATCCTGGGACTCCAGGATCATGACCTGAGCCGAAGACAGTCGCTTAACCAACTGAGCCACCCAGGCACCCTAAACAGACCATTTTTTATAGATAATTGAGAAATAATTCTTACATTAGATAAGATAGACTGGTTTAGTTGAAAGAACCTCTTTGGTTCTAATATTTACACAATGAAAACATAATACAATGAATTTAATAATAAAAGTATTTATTGAACACTATTACATGCTGGTCATCATGCTAAATGCTTGACATGGGGTCTGGTTCCTATCTTCATAGCACTGGATGAGGTAGGTACTACATCAAAACCTCAGAGAGGCAAAGAAAGTTGCTAGAGGTAGCCCTAAAGTAAGGGACAGAACCAAGATTAGAACTCAAGAAGTCTAGCCCTAGAACTTGCCTGTTAGCATCTTTTGGAGGGATTTTTCACTGTCTTCCTTCCGACTCTCCCTCACTGCCTGTGTTAATTTCGTACCATGGCTGACAGCAGCCACACGTGCACCTGCAAAGCAGCTCTTCCTGTTTTCTTCGGTGCTTGTCTCATGCCATCTGCATGTCTTTTTTGTGTCTTGATTGTCTGTGTTTGAATAAGAATCTAATGTCTGAGGTTTATGTAAACTTCATTTCACTTAATACCAAGTCTTTTATTTCACACACACATAAAATATATATGTATATATGTATTATATACTATATAGTGATGTAATATATTCATGTGTATGTATAACTATATAGAGAGTATTAAATATATTAGAGAGAGACCATATTACTTTTCAGTTGCTAATGTGACAAACAACCACAAACTCAGTGGTTTAAAACAACACAAATGTATTTGTGTTCTGCAGGTTAGAATTCCAGCATGGGTCTCGCTTAGCTAAAATCAGGGTGTTGGCAGGGGCTCCTCTTTTGGAAGCTCTGGGGGAGAGTCCCTTTCCTTGCCTTCTCTTTGACACATAGCCCACTTCCTCCATCTTCAAAGCCAGCAATACTAGATAGAGTCCTTCTCACATCCCATCACTCTAATCTCCCTTATGATGACATTGGACTCACCTGTAATCTCTCCATCTCAAAGTCCTTAATTTATCACATCTGGAAAATCCCTTGTGCTCATGCAAAAGAACATACACACTGCAGGGAGGAGGACATGGACATTTGGGGGGACTATTACTCTGCCTACCACAAGTACTTGTTAAATACAACACTCTTCAGGGGACTGAGACAAAACACAGTCCTTCCCTGGGGAAGATTACAGGTGAGAAGACATTTAAATGGATAAGGAAATGCAAGAAAACTCTGTGCCATGACAGAAGTAGGAACAATTACAGCACCGTGGAGGAAATCTGCTTGGGGTTGAGCATGAACTAGAAACAATTTTGGCTAAAAAATGACAATTGTTCTTGACATGTTCATATGACTTGATCACTTTTAATCCAGGTTTTGAGACTCTGGGATATTCAGCACCAGCTGTCCATCCAGAGGATAGCTTGTTCTTTTCCCAAAAGTCAGGACCTCAGATGTCTCTTCCACTTTGATGAAGCCCATGGACGACTTTTCATCTCATTTAATAACCAGCTCGCATTGTTGGCAATGAAAAGCGAGGCCAGCACAAGGGTGAAGAGCCACAAGACAGCAGTCACTTGTGTTCTTTACAATTCGGTCTTGAAGCAGGTAATGATGCTTTTCTGTCCCTCTCCTGACAAGTCTCCAGGGCCAGAGGCTCATTCCTTTAATTCAACCTAAGGCAACTGAGGACCAATATAGACAAAAAAAAATTGTGGGAAAGAAACGATTTAATAGCCTTGTGCTTTTCTGCAAGGATGTGTGTTCAGGTGGATTTGAAGAGGGATTTCATTTTTGCCAGTGACCACGGTGACACAGATAGAGTTATAAGGAATTACAATATTCCAGTGGAAACAAACAAAACATGCGACGTAATTGAACTTCTGTTTGTTACTGGCTCATTTGGGTCTTGATGCCAAATGCAAGTGAACCTGGTTGTAAAATTCTATTTTATGAACGCCAGCCTCCCGTATCCCTGTGGGAAGTTCTGAAATATGCATGAAATGTAATTAGCAGAGATCCATTTTGCCAGCCTATTTGACACCAGGGGCTCACAGTGGCAGCCTGGAATGTATTCATAAGAAAATGATTCAGTTAAATGTGGTGCCACTTGGAATGCAGCACGAGTGTTGTTTGTCTCCCCACCACTTTAATGACACTTTGCAGCCTTTGCTTATGGGAGTGCTACCTGAATGTCAATGAAGAAGCTGTGGCTCCTCTGGAGGGAAGATGCCGCCTGGACCACAGGCCTTCTCAGAGGACAGGGCGGGTGGGTGCATGGTGTCACGGAGGGAGAGGCACCGGCGGAGGGTAGTCTGCTGCCGTGATCACGTCAGGACTGATCGTAACCCGCACAGAAGGAGCCGAGCAGAGAGCCCGTATCCAGCATGCGGCCAATTAAACAATAACTCCGGCCCATCCTTCCCTTCCCTTCTGCAGAAGCTTCTGCGTTCGCACAGAAATGAGTAGTTGGGTTTTTGCGTGAGGGGCGGAAAGCCCTTTGTTAGTAATGAGTAGTGTGTCGTGTCACCACTTCAAACACTGTTTTCTGGTTATTCTAGGAGATAAAAATCCTTTACGAAACAATCCATTTTGAATTCCATCTGCAGGGAACATTCCCCCCGTCAGTGTTTTACTGAACTTCACCAAGGCAGCCAGTTAATTCGGCTCCCTGGTGGCCAAGCGAGAGATGTATTTATTTCCAGGAGAACATTTTGCTAATTGAGAGCTGCGGAGTTAAGAAGCTAGGTTTGTATGTAGATGTTAAGATCCTATGTCGTCTGGCCATTAGATGAGCAATATCCCATGAGGAATTCAGGAAATGGGACACAAAGATGTGGAACCTTCCATTTGGGACATGAAGATAAAGTTAAGATAGTGCAAATATATGCAAGTTACCAGGAGCAGTGGAATATGCCCATACGGTGCAGGCTGTGGGAAGAATCCCTGTGCAATCGGGTTGGGTATTTGCACCTCTACTTATTTTTGCTGTTAAGAGTATAAATAATTAAAAGCATTGATATGTATATAAAGTGCATAGAGCCATTCATTTCATACATGTTTCCTGATTATTAGTGGCTAAGCTATAGAGAAACATTTTAACATTGTATTACATTTATAACTATAAAAATGTATTGCAGTTAAGAACAAAGAAAACAATATCACCCACAGTGCCATCCACCAGTGATAATTTATCATTTCAGAGTAATTAGACAACGCAAATAAAATAGTTTTGAACAAGTTCAGGTGCCAGCAATGAGGAAGCAGATTCATCCACTATAGTTTCTTCGTTCCAGTAGCTCAGGGAGACTCAGGTCCTGGAGGTCTTCTTGGTGTTCATTGCTGACAGGTGCTCATTATGGGGCTGACGGATGAAAGAAGGGAAGGCAGACACATTACTAACTCACAAAGGAAAAATGGAATCCAGTAAAATGAAGTAGAGAGAAGAGCAAAGTGCTGTCCATGGCAGGTGATCAGTTCTGCCTGCGGCTGGGGTGGGTGACAGACTAGAGCCCAGAAATCTCATAGCGGGATTCTCTAGAAGGAGAAGGAAGCAGTTCCAGACAGAAGATACATCATCAGCACCTTCAAAGAGGCTTGAGCACTCACAGTGCATTTTTTTTTTTTTTTAAACAGGGAGAGGATTTATTCTGGTGTTTGGAAGTACGTGGCAAATGTTGTGGGAGTTGAGGCAGTAAAGGGAGCTGAGAACCAGATTGGGAACGTCATTCACTGAGTATACCACTGCCTGGTCCTGCAAAAATAAAGCAAGGACTTGAGGTTAAAAGAGCAATTTTCACAGTGTGATCTCAGACCCCTGGGGGGACTCAGATTCTTTCAGGGAATCTGTAAGATCAAAACTATTTTCATCATATTATTAATTTGTTGTTTGTTTTTGTCACTCTTACTATCTCATGAGTGTAAGTGGAGTTTTCTAGAGGCTACAGGTTGAGTGATGACATCATTGCTCTAACAGCTAAAGGAATATATGACTTTGTATTCTTGTGTTTTAACAGTTGCTCAGTTTAAATTTCCAATATGGTAGATACATAGTCTCTCTCTCTCTCTCCCACATAAATGGAAGCTGTTTGGATTCTTCAATAATTTTTAAGAGTGTAAAGGAATCCCAAGATCAAAAGTTTTGAGAACCGCTGAGTTAGATCAGAGTTCAGATGTTGGGCAGCTAGCTTCTCATGTCTAAGCTTTAGTTTATTGACTTTTTTTTTTTTTAAAGATTTTATTTATTTATTTGACAGAGAGAGACATAGTGAGAACAGGAACACAAGCAGGGGGAGTGGGAGAGGGAGAAGCAGGCTTCCCGCGGAGCAGGGAGCCCGATGCGGGACTCGATCCCAGGACCCTGGGATC